TAATAATAATAATAATAATAATAATAATAATAATAATAATAATAATAATAATAATAATAATAATAATAATAATAACAATAATAATAATAATATTACTATTACTATTATGACGTAATCATATAATTATTTATGAATTTATAATTATTAAAATACTATTAATATATTAATTATACTGATTATTATTAAAAAATTGTAAGTAGCAAAATTTAGTTACCTAACAGTATATAAGGACACGTGTTTGTAATTTTTATTTCCAGTATTTGAAAAATGTTCTAATAATTAACATTAATTACCAATAATAATAATTAACAATAATATTTATTGACAAAATTTAACAAAATTATATTGATTAACATTATTTATTATGGTATTCATATAATTTAATTACGAATTTAATACTATTAAATATATATGGCTACATACATATGTATATGATATTCAAATAATTTAATTACGAAAATTGGAGTACTGAATTATCACATTTTTAAAGTTTGGGATCAAATTGTCACTCGAACCAAATAGGGTAATGATCGAAAATTTTCCCAATACAACACTGAAATTCCCATTTCCCACCTAGGGGTTTTTTCATTCTCCTCCCTGACTCATCTCTCAAACATATCATTCTCTCCTCTCTCACTCTCTGCAAGTCTACAACTCTACGTCAGTGTGAGTTGCGACAAAGCCACAAAGGAGACGACAGACAATGGTATGATGCCATTAATTTTTCATTTTTCTTCTCCCATTCCCTTCTCTACAAGTTTGCATCAGTAGCTCCTGTCCTTTTTCCAATTTCGCATTGTCTTGATCTGGTTGAGCTACGACGGCGAGACAAGATGAGAGATGCAATGGTAGACTAAAGGGAGGAGGCTTCTCCACTCCAGTTCTCCTAAACAAACGGCAAACCATCAGATTGTAGCAACTTACCACCATTGAATCTTCTCATTTTCTCAACCAAACGAAAACGGCAAGTTCCTTGATCCTTATTTTTTCTTTATATTTTGATTATTTTTTTTGATAATTTTTACTTCATTTGTTATTTGGTTTCTTCCTTGAGCTGTAACTACTAACTAGGCTTTTGTTCTTGTTCTTCTTACAAATTAATCCATTTTTCTTTTTATTTTGATTATTTTGTTTGATATTTTTCTTACTTATTTCGTTAGTTGCACAAATTAATTTCCTGCTGTAACTAGGCTTTTATTATCGTTGTGTGCAGTGTGCACATATTAATTTTTTTTTTCTTGTACTGAGTTCAATAGAATGCACATATTGGAGTTTTTATTTTTTTCTATTATTGTTTGTAGATGATAAATTTATTTATTTATTTATTTATTTATTTTTGCATTTTAGGTCATACACTACTCCTCAAGACCTCATCTACTACGATTTAATTCGGCCTTTACTTGGATTAAGACTAGAGCAGTGCTTTTGACCTGCTCTGTGGACTATGATAAATTAATTTGATTTTCAGTCTTTCACTTGTGAATTAATTTGGCTTTCCTGCTTAGTTCTTACATGGCCTTAGGTGCATTATTTTCTTTTGAACTTTTCATAATATATATTATATGTATTGCTTTACTTTTAAGTGAATTACCTTGTTCAAGAAATGCCTGGATCAACTCCCTCAATAATCCCCACTGTTAATTCTGGGCCTCTTCCTCGTCCTCGTCCTCCTAGTAATAAAACAATTGAACTTGTCTGTGCAACACAATCTACAAGTTGATTTCAAAGATCTTGGCCAATAGATTGAAGACTAAGTTGCCCCAACTTGTCTCCCAAAACCAGAGTGCCTTTCCAAGAGGGTAGATACATAGGTGACAACATTTTGATAGATCATGAAATCTTCCATTTCATGAAAAAAACTAAGAGTAAAAGGGGTGTGATGGCCATAAAAGTTGGATATGACTAAGGCTTATGACAGAATTGAGTGGTGGTTCCATAGGCAAGTCATGATTAAAATGGGTTTTGGAGAAAAGTGGGTGAATTGGGTTATGAGTTGCGTCACTTCAGTCTCCTGCCAAGTGCTGGTAAATAGGGTGCCAAATAAAAAGTTTTACCCTTCAAGAGGACTGAGACAAGGAGATCCAATATCCCCTTACCTATTCCTACTCCGTTCTAAGGTATTCTCTTCCATTTTGGATAAAAAGGTAGAGAATCACCAAATTTTTGGGATAAAACTGAGTAGAGACTGTCCTCCAGTTTCCCACTTACTTTTTGCCGATGATAGTTTGATATTTGGCAAGGCCACTCTCAAGGAAGGCAATCAGATCTTGGAGGCCATTCGCATCTATGAGAGAGCCTTGGGGCAGAAAGTCAACCCTTCTAAATCAGTTTGTTTTAACTCCAAATTGCATCCAAAGTTTCAGAAATTAATAGCTAAAAGTCTACACTTTAAAAAGGTAGACAGTCCTTCTAGATACTTGGGATTTTACCCCCAATAATTGGAAATTCAAAATGCAAACGTTTTGATTATTTGGTGGAGAGGGTTAAGAAAAAAACAGGTGGTTGGAAGGAGCAGATGCTCTCCCAAGCCGGAAAGGAAGTAATGCTCAAAGCTGTTGCAGTAGCTATTCCTACTTATTGTATGTCGTGCTTTCTTCTGCCAAAGAAGGTGTGTGAGGACTTAAAGAGAGCTCAAAGAGATTTCTGGTGGGGCTCCTCAAGTGAGAAGAAGAAAGTTCAGTGGGTCAGCTGGAATCAAATCAGCAAGAATAAGCTTAATGGTGGGTTGGGTTTTAGGGATCCAGCTGACTTCAATAGAGCTCTGCTTGCAAGGCTGGCCTGGAGGTTGGCGAATGATGATGATAGCTTGTGGGCCAGAGTTATAAAAGCTAAATATTTAAAAAATAAATAATTTATCTCTTCTAGCCTCCCTTCACAAGGCTCTTGGGGGTGGAAAAGTCTTTTGGCTGGTAGAGAAGTTTTGTTAGAGGGCATCTGTTGGGGCGTAGGGAATGGGGAGAAAATTGACATCTGGTTCTCCTTGGGTGCAGGGGCTTCCAGGGAACATAATCATAGGTCCAAGTCCTCTCAATTCAAATCTGTCAAAAGTCTCTGATCTTTTGATGCCAGGAAATGAAGGTTGGAATACAAACCTAATCAGGGAGCATTTTATCCCTGAAGTGGTGCAAAAAATCTCAGTAATCAATCTTGCCTCTGGTGATTGGGAGGACAGACTGTTTTGGGATGCCACATAAACATGGCAAGTTTATAGTAAGTTCTGCCTATTTTTTAGCTAAGAAACTGAAGGTAAATGAAAACAGAGGGGTAGGGGTTAGTTCAGAATCTGAGGACAGACCATTGTGGAAGGCAATCTGGGCCCTCCCAGTGCAGCCCAAAATTAAAGCTTTTTTGTGGCGGAGCAGTCTTAAAGCTCTCCCTGTAAATTTGAACCTGAAGTCAAGAAATGTGCTGACTGATGCAAGTTGCAGTCTTTGTGCGAGCTCTGAGGAATCTACTGTCCATGCCCTCCTCCTGTGTGATTTCACCAGATGCTCCTGGTTTGGTAGTGGCTTGGGAGCCAGAATGTCGGTGGTTAATCCTGCTATATCATTTAAAGATTGGTTGAAGGACTGGTTCCGATCCTATAACTCACTAGGCCCTGATAAAAAGGATGCTCTAATGCTCTTTGCTATTCTTTTATGGACTATTTGGCTGTGTAGGAATAATTTCATTTTCAATAATGAAAAGCCTAACCCAACAGAATCACTTGCTTTGGTGAACAGATTAGTGAAGGAGCAAAAGGAAATCTTTTTGGAGCAGCCAAGAGTGGCCCATTCTGAGGATCTTGCTCTTCATAACTGTTTTTGGAAGCCACCTGCGGTTAGTCCAGTTAAGCTAAATTTGGATGCTGCTTTTGTTAATCACAGCTCTACTGCTTTTGGAGTAGTTGCTCGTGACATGCATGGTTCCTGTGTTGCAGTTAGCTGTGGCCAGTGTTGGGTTAGGAGGGACTGTAATCAAGCGGCACACTTAGCAGCTAAACAAGGCCTCTTATTGGATTGCCTGCTATTTGGTGTGGAGCCAGGGTGGCTGGCTAACTATTTGGAGGTGGAACGTGCTATTCCGCGCCCTCCTTGAAGTATGTTGCAGGCTTGGTCCTTTTTTCCTGTTTTTTTTGTAGTTTTAGCAGGTCTGTGTCTTTAGTTGTAGTCTCTTTTGTTGTTTCTGTTGTTTGGTGGTTTGCTGTTGTTTCTTTGTGTCGTTGCTCTGCTTTAATGAATTTTCTCTCTTCACAAAAAAGTTAATTGGTATAGACAAACTCAAACCGTTAGAAATTTTGGATTCTTCTCCTTGGGTCCCGTTTGGCAACATTCCAGGTAAACACTGCTATTTTTTTGCCATTTTTTCTCTGTATACCGAATCTCTTCTTTTGTCTCAGTCACTCGATTTACTCCTTACCAGTGTCAGTTACAGGGTGAATGCTGCAACAAGTCTTCTCTGACATCCGTTTTTTCCGAGCAGTATCATTTACACAGGCATGTCTTCTTTCTGGCGAACGACCACACTTCTTTCTATTATGTTTTGTGCATCCTCCCAACTTTGGTTGTGAGAAACAAAACCAGGTTGGGACTAGCTTCGTATAGTGTGTTCTGAAGTTTTCAATCTGTGGTTCCCCTTCCCTCAGTTGCATTTCATCTGTTTGTCTTCTTTCTTGAATTTTCCGCATTGATTATTGCACATAGTTCTTCTTGGGAACCTTATTATTTAGTGATTTTCAGGATTTTATCTGTGCATAAAGCAAGCCATCCTCTGTATTTATGGCTGAGTCTTCTCCCAATGAAGATGCACTCCACAAAATTTGATGGATAATATTAAACATCATTACCTTCAATAGAATGGAGGTTATCCCTTCCTAAGATCTTAACGTCTCAAATGGTTAATCACTCCAGCAGCCTCTAGGATCTCCCAGCACAACCAATAATTTCATTCGAGCTTTTGGATTGTAAAGTGCTATTATTTTTAATTTTCAATTCCTTTCAATCCAAGATCTTGTTGGTGAAATTACAAAACAAAGAATAATATGCTCTTTGCCTTTGATCTAACCTAGGTCGCCCAAGTCAAATGACAGGTTATGTTGCAGTTACATGTTTTAATACCATGGTATTTAAGCCGTCTCCAAACAAAACAGTATTAATTACTTATTTGAAATGATATTCTCATCTTTTGTTCAGCCAAATCAAGCGTTGTCATATTACTGCTAAGTCCTAGAGTTGGGTAAACAATAATTCTTTGCAACATACTTTGTTCTGCAATCATAGAGTTACAGTTCTGTAAAATGGAGTCTACCGAGTATTTTTTGTTCTTTGTGGGCTGAAGGAAGTCAAGTCCATATTGGATGGGTTAAGCTAGTGGACCTGGAGCTACTGAGATTGATTTTCTGCATTACAGAGATAAAATTTTTGGTCTTGTTTTGTTTAACTTCATTGAGCTGGGTTCTTTGATAACAATGGCCATGCCATTGTTATGTAAAATGGTCATGCCATGAACATGACAGATGATGACAATGGTCATGCCAACAATACTTGTATCTTCCATCTTAATTGTATACTTACCATGAACAGGACAGTTCTACAAAATGAAAGAAAGGATGCTCCAGATGCTTCTACTGTACAATGATTTCTTGGGGACACAATACTTAACAGAAAGAGTGAAATGTTTCTAGGTTCTAGCTAACAGATTTGAAATTTGGTGTAGTAAAAGTCTAGTTCATTTGAACTCTTCACTGCATTTGCTTGTTTTGCAGCCATAGATTTGTCTGAAACTTTCAAAATTTCAAGATTTAAGAAAAAGAAAAGTAAAATTCCTACATCTGAACAATCATACTGGGAATCCACATCAAAGTTTTATTGGGAGCTGAATATGGAGAGGTTTGGTCCTTGCTACTGGATATAGAAAACTGAATGTGGAGAAGTTGGGACTTAGTAGGTATTTCAGTTTTAATGAAATGTTTCAGTTATTCATTAAAACTGAAACATGGCACTTGTTTTTTCTTAATTTTAGGCTTAATGACTTGCAACAATGCAAAACATATGGATGGGTTTGCAGAACTAATGTTAAGAAATAGTTTCGTTATCCAAACATTGTTTCTGTTTCTGTAGAACACAAATCCATTCCCGAGGAACAAATTGCCAAACGTGCATTAAGGAGAAGACATGAAGCTTCGACATGCTATGGTTTGTTCTTCGAATCAGAACCGAAGCATGGAAGCTCATTCGCTCCTCAAAAGACAGGGTTTCGATGTCTCATCCTATGGTACGGGAGCACACGTTAAACTTCCAGGTCCTTCGTTGAGGGAACCCAATGTTTATGAATTTGGCACGCCATATAAGCAGATGTTTGATGATCTCAGACGGAAAGACCCTGAATTGTATCCTTTATTTTTGTTTCATTTCATATAGATACAATATGTGAATCTAGAGCTATAGACTATAACGTTTTAAAACTCACATTCTAAATTTGTCATTTGTTCCGAAATATTTAACTTTAGCTCTCAGTAGTTCAATTATAACTCAGAGAATCATCACAGATGGTACAATTTAGGGTATTTCTTTTTTACCTTTAGTTCTTGTTTTTTCCCTATCCCAGTTTCTTCTCTTGTTAATGTTACAATGCTTGATTTGGTTACTCAATTTGGCCATTGATTATCCATTCTAGGATGCAAATCCAGTTTTCGCTTTCCAGATGTATCAAGTAAGCATTTTAGAAGTGCCTTGACCATAATCTCATCTATCATTTTTCTCTAACACTACCACATACAGGTAATGGGCAGTTTATCATTGGGAATGATTTCACATTGCATTCAAATCTCTAGCGCCTACTCTAGGATTTGAAGTATATAGAATTGACACAAATATCAGTAGCAGTTTTGTTTCCTCCTAACTTTACCTCTATAGAGTTGCTCAAAGTGTCAATGCTCATATTAGGTGACAGAGGAACGACCCACTTCGGTTTTCTTTAGCTTCATTGTATATAAGAATTAAGCAGAGTACATCCTTAACAATATTCAGATACAAGCGTAATGGCATCTTGTCAATGCTTAAGAGGAACTCAAGTGTCAAACTTGCACCTCAACGTTGGCAGGAGAATGCTGCTGATGGCTCCTTTGACGTGGTATTTACATTTGAAGAGAAGGTTTTTGATATGGTTATTGAAGGTTATCATCTGGATTTTGCATTTCATTGTTACCATATGTCTTGTTTTTCCATATCCAATGTTTTAATGATAGATTTGCTGCATATTTTGTCTCATGTGGCAAAGGTTGTTGTGAAATGTGATTGGATGATAATTTAATCTTTTTTTTTTGCAACTTTTTATATGAATATAGTTTTTGCACTTAATCTGTTGTGGATAAAATAAATAATTTCTTGTTTACCTTTTTTATTTTTTTGGTATTTGCTTTTTTCAAGTTTACCTTTGATCTTGAATTTATTTGAAATGACCTGAAGCTTGGTACTGCAAAACTGGATTTCTCACTACTGGCAATAGATTTGGGAAGTTTTTTTGATAGGAAGATCTATTGCACCTCATATTTTCATCTATTTTGGGCAGATTTAGCTGAAGCTAGAGGCTCCTCCATTCTTCCTTGCTTGATAGGGGGGATTTCAATGTGGTTAGATTCTTGGAAGATAGAAATGGTGGAAGGAGATCCAAAGACATGTGGCGATTTGCAGATTTTGTAAATCAGTTTGAACTCATAGACCTTCCTCTGACAGGGGCACAATTCACATGGACTATATCAAGAAATCCTTGTGCTGCTAAAACTTCATAGATTCCTACTCTCCCCTGGTTGGGAAGATCTATTTCAGGACTTGAACCAGGTGGCTCTTCCATGGCCTGTTTCAGATCACTCTCCCCTCCAGCTAATCTGTGGCATACAGGTGCGTAGGAAGACTGCTTTTAAATTGGAGCATGCCTAGTTCGAAGAAGAGGTTTTAAATCTATTCCTAAATAACAAATAGGCTGATACTCAGGTGGATGGTACAAGCTCTTTTGTGCTTGCAAAGAAGCTGGGAGCCATTAAGGACACCTTGAAGACTTGGAGGGTGAAGAAGTGGAATAAATCAAAGTCAGAAAAGAGGTGTTTAGAGGTAATCAAAGAGGTGGATCTGGTTGAAGAAAGAGGGCCTATTACAGAAGAAGATGAAGAAAAGAATGGCAGCTAAATTGGTCCTGGACAATCTAGCCTATAAAGATGAATTGAAGTGGAGGCAAAGGGCAAAGGTGAAGTGGCTCAAAGTAGGGGACAGAAACTCTAGCTTCTTCCATAAAATGGCAAATGAAAGAAATAGAATAAACTACATAGAAATATTGGAACATGATGGTTTGGTGGGGGGAAAACTGGTCAGATCTGAAAAGTATAGCCACCAAATTCTTCTTTGAATTGTTCAAGGAAGGATGGAAAAGAGGGCCTTTGCCAGTGGGTATAAATTTTAAAAGAATATTAAATGAACAATGAAGGATTTTGGAAGCTCCCTTTTTTGAAGAGGAAGTTTGGCAGGTGATAAAGAACCTAGATACAAAAAATCTCCAGGTCTGGATGGTCTTACTAATTTGTTCTATAAGAGCTACTGGGAAGTGGTGAAGGTTGATGTATTGAAGGCTTTCCAGGATTTCTATCGAAATGCCTCTTTGGAAAGGAGTCTAAATGCTACATTCATCTCCCTAATTCTTAAAGTATGAGCTACTAACATTATGGATTTTAGGCTGACCAGTCTACTGAATAGCTTTTACAAGATTTTGGCTAAGGTCCTAGCTGAGAGGTTCAAAAAGGTTCTGAATAGTGTGATTGCACAAAATCAGTTTGCATTTGTGCCAGGTCGTCAAATGTTGGACAGTGTCTTGGTAGCAAATGAACTGATTGGCTCAAGGAAAAGGGAGGGTACTCCAGGTCTGATGTGTAAATTGGACTTGGAGAAGGCTTACAATCATGTCAATTGAAGATGCTTGGACTTTGTTTTGGACAGAATGAACTTTGGGCAGAAATGGAGAAATTGGACCAGAGCTTGTATGACTTCTAAATTCTTAATCTTGTTAAATGGACAATCAATGGGGTTCTTTAAAAGCTCCAGGGGGAGAAGACAAGGGGACCCCCTCCTCTTCTGTTTATCTGTGTAATGGAACTCCTAACTAGTTTTGTCCTTTATGTAGGAGAGGTGGGGATGTGGAAAGGATTTGAAGTGGCTCTCAGAAGGAAAATGTGCAACTATTGCAGTTTGCTGATGATACCCTTTGCTTTGTCGATGCCAAGGGAGACTAGTTAGAAGAAATGTTGGGTGTCCTAAGCTGCGTTGAAGTGTTGGCGGGATTGAACGCCAATTGGAGTAAGAGTAGCTTAATTCCAATGGGAAATGTGGAAAATATAGAAAGCTAAAAATTAGAGGACGAATACCTTTCATCCTTTGGTCCGAGCAGAGATCTCCAAATGGCCAAATATTAGAGGAAGCAAGAAAGCTTAACTTCTTTGGAGCTGCATACCATTTGCTGTATGTTGGTCCATCTGGAAAGAGAGAAATAGAAGGGTTTTTGAGGACAAGACACTAAGTGTGGAATACTTAGTAGCAGTAGTGGGCAATTAGACTGCAGCCTGGGCTCTTAAACTTCTAGAGTTCGAGCAAGTGCATAAGTCTGATTTGTTGGAGAATTTCTGGAGTACTCTTGATTTGCATCCTTGTAACTGTGATTCCTTTTCAATTTAATTTCAGATATGTAATTGGTCTGTCAACTTGACAACCACTATGTTTGAGATGTACTGCATTTTTTTAGTTTAATGAAATTTCTTGTTGATTCTTCAAATATATATATATATATATATATATATATATATATGTAGAAGCTTTGGCTGAGGTGCTGTACTGTCAAGTGGGTTTTCAGCCAACAAAATACCTGGGTCTTCCTCTGGGGGGTAAATGCACCTCAGCTCTATCTGGGACCCAGTTTTGGAACGATTGGAAAAGAAACTTGCTTCCTGGAAAGCCAAATACTTGTCCTTGGGAGGTAGAATCACCATCTTGAAAAGCTCCTTATCCAACTTGCCTTCATTTTATCTTTCCCTCTTTCCAATTCCAGTGAAAGTGGCCCAAAGGATAGAAAAGCTTTAGAGGGATTTTCTGTGGAGGAGGAAAAAAAGAAGATTCATTTGGTGAGTTGGGATCAAGTGTGTGCTTCGAAGGATAAAGGGGAATCAGGAGAGTGAAGAACTTCAATAATGCTCTACTAGGAAAGTGGATATGGAGATTTGGAGTGGAAAGAAGTAGATGGTGGAGAGGTTTAATTGCAACCAAATATAATACTGATAGAGGAGGGTTAAGTCTTAAATTGGGAAGGGGTGACAAGTGTCTTTTTAGAAAGACCCTTGGTATGGAAGCAGCCCTCTCTCAGACCTATTTCCACAGTTGTTTCAGCTAGCTGAAAAGCAGGATGCAACTGTGGAAAACTGCTTTGAGTTAATTTGTAGCTCGGTTTTCTGGTGTCCTTTTTGAAGAAATTTTTAGGATTGGGAAATTGTTAAGTTTGTTGAGTTGCTTGAGCTGATCTCTTTTCAGTCTCTGGACCTGAACAAAGAAGATGGTTGGAGCTGGAATTGGAGTGCAGATGGACAGTTTCTTTTAGACAAGAATCTAGTAGGTGTGCCTACAATCAGAATTGGAATCCGATTTTCCCCTTGAAAATTAATTCTCTGGTTTGTGCAGCAGCTTTGGATAGGTGTTTAACCAAAGTCAATCTTAGATAAAACAAAAAAGAGGATTAAAATCTGATGGATCACAAGTCATCACCTGGATACAAGACAATCTGAAAATCAAAATAAGTTTTCCACATTACAGATTTGAATACTCAAAACCTCCCCCAACTTATTCCCCAGGTCCTCCTTACAATTTGCCTAAATTCTGGGAGAACCAAAACCCAGTCTGCCATGGATCTGCTAACAGTGGCTACCATCCTATCCATACTGCAAGCTTTGTCCTCTAATATTCTTCTGTTCCTCTCCTTCAATATGTTCCAACATATGGTAAACGGAATGCAGCTCCATCCTTTGCTTTCTTACTTCCTCTCAGCTTAGGCCACATAGAGAAAATTTCTGCAGCTGAAGTTGGGTGAAGGCCAGTAACCCCAAACATAGCAGTAAACATTCTCCACATGTAACCAGCAAACTTGCAGGAGATAAATAGATGGCTGACATTTTCCTCCTGCTCTTCTTATAGACAGCACCTGTTAGCTATAAGGAATTCTCTTGATTTCAGATGACCCACTGTCAAGATGCTATCCATTGCCAAAGCTTCAACTCTTGGTGGAACTGGGTTTCCCCAAATACCTTTAATTTGATTTAAGTCTGTATTGGCAAGATGCTACCCATTGCCACCATCCATTGCCAAAGCTTCAACTCTTGGTGGAACCGGGTTTCCCCAAATACCTTTAATTTGATTTAAGTCTGTATTGGACCTGCTAGGAGCCATATAACATGATTTTACTGAGAATTTTTCCATTTTTACATTCTTTTCACCAAAGTTCATCCCTTTGCCGACCTGAAAATTTTACACTATCTAATTTTCCTAGCAGAGAGATACATTCTTCCACTTCTCTATCCAACAGAGGCCCCCTAAATTTCAGGCCCCAAACCAATTGATCCCCCCTTCTTTTGTAGTACTCACTGATAAAAACCTCAGCCTTAGCCTATACAATCTTAGACATAATTCATTCAGCTTGCCTATCCCACACCAATCGTCCTCCCAAAATCTGATTTTTGATCCATCCTCTACTACAAAGCTTGTTAGACTTCTAACTTCCCTGTTAAATCTCATAATCCCCTTCCGCACACTCGCCCCGTACGAAGCCCTCACCTCCCTAGATTCCCAGCCAAACCTCACCACCATATGCTTCCCAACCACTACCCTCCTCCACAGAGTTTTCCTCTCCCTGAACCAAATCTCCATAGCCATTTCCCCAATAAGGCCCTATTAAAGATTCTCGCTCTTCTTAGCTCCAGCCCTCTCCTCTCTTTTGATTTACAAACCTTATCCCAATTCGCCAAGTGAAATTTCTTTCCCCTCTCTCCCTACCCCTCCCAAAGGAAATCCCTCTGAATCTTCTCAATTCTCTCAGCCACTTTAGTTGGTATTTTCAGCAGAGATAGATAATAGGTTGGTAAGCTTGACAAGA